GTCCCGCAGGGCGGCCGAGAGCCCGTCCGCGCTCCTCCCGTTGTAGTAGAGGCGGCACAGGTGCAGCTGCAGCGTGTCGCGCTCGTGGGCAGCCGCCAGCGCCTGGTATTTCTGCGCCTGGGAACGACGGCGGGCCTCAGATCAGTCGGCACACCGGGGCCGAGGCTCTGCACCGACGGCCTCTTGCCCCAGAAGCCAGGGGCTTTTTAACATGAGATTTCAAAAGCCAAAGCAGTAAAAGTTAAACAGTTAAAACCCCCAAAAAATATAACCATCTTATTTAGAAACATTGTATATACAGAAATGTTTTGCCACACGACGGAAATTTTGTCTTTCACTGGAAGAAAGGTGAATTTCAATATTAACTAACTGATCAAAATACAAATATCGTAAATGGTATTGCTTCCCTGTCCGACAGCAATTCGAGACAGAAAAAAAAAAAAGGCAGCTGGTCTTGTTCCGACGCTGCTTAAACGCCACCGTGTTTCAAAGCCGAAACAGCTCTCACACTGGGAAGCTAATCACCTAAAAGACTGGTGTGATTTTATTCATCTCCCCCGTCCCAAATCCTGATCCCAAACTTTTCTGCTCCAAGCACTCCTTAGCGATTCACAAGGTCTTTTTATCCGACGTCATTTAATGTGCAGAAATGCAGAAAGCACGCTGTTTTTGCTTTGGTACTTGGCGCCACACACATGTGCAATAATATCAGAATACTGCCTGCTTCGTGAGGCCATGACGCACCTCGCAGGAGACTGTACAGACCACCCCCCCGACGTTCTTCAGACTGAGGCGCTGGTGTGAAATATCAAGAGTGTGCATCTCTCCCACCTTCCCGAGTCTGGACCTCACTCAATACCCAGAGGATGTGAAGGCTGAACATGCAGCCTCTTACAAAAAAAAATAAAAAATAATCCAGTCGGGTGTTTATCTGAAAATACTGGCTCAGGTTTGGCTTTAAACTCGGGTGCAATACGACCAGAACGGCGTTACGAAACTGTAAAAAGGGAATGCGGCCCCAGTACCTCCACCTGCTCCAGCTTGGCCTCCTTCTGCTCGACGCTCACCACCTTCTTCCTGTTGTAGAGGAACTGAGCGTTCTCCTCGGCTTTCTGCGTCGCCCTCTTCTTGGCCTCGTACTCCTCCGCCAGGTCCGCGGAGGAGCTGATCCTCTCGAAGAGCTGCGTCCGCTCCCTGGGTTTCATCATGGCTATGGACTCCACAGCCCCCTGCGGCCCGGACCAATAACACAAACCCCTGAAGCGCTCGCCCGGACGAAGGAGGGTTCAGAAACGCCCGCCGCGATCGTAAACCCTACCTCTTAAGGGCGCTCTGGCCCTTCCTCGGTCACCTGATCTCCTGCACCTGCCTCCTGTCCCGGTCTCCCCCTTAAAAAGCCAGATGCTCCCACCATTCCAGGCTCCGCTCTGGAACATGGACGCCCGGAAGTCCGCCTACCAGCGGGCCCAGGGGGGGCTCGACGGCATCGGCTTCGCAGCGGCGTCCTGACCATCTGGGCCCGGGGCTGGGAGCGCCCGGCCCCGTTTCCCCTTTCTATTTCCCTGTCCCTTCGCTAGAGCCCACTCCAGCTTTTAACCCTGTCTTGTCTCCATCACGGATGGACCACTCGGTTCTGGACATTGGCCTCCACATGGATTCCATAATGATCACCCTTCGGACTCGTTTGCCTCGGACCTCGGACCCCCCTCCCCCCCCGAGCACCGGTGCACCTTGGACACGCCCCCCTGTTCTTCCAGCCCCGATCCTAGTCCCCTTTTTCCCCCCTGTGTTTGTCTCACCCCCCTCCGGATTTCTTCAAATGAAAGAAGACACAGCTTCGTGACACGCCGTGCCTACTCCCTTACAAAACCTACATTCAGACCCACAAAACCTACATTACAGACCAAATTCCCTTCCGGCAGATTTTTTTTAGTGACGCACAAAAAAAAAATCTTGTGTGTGGAGTGGTGGCTCTGTGGCTCAGGATCTGCGCCTGTGGCCGGGAGGTTGCTGGTTCAAATCCAGCGGCCGGCAGAGGAATCCTACTCCGTTGGGCCCCCGGGCGAGGCCCTTCACCCCAGCTGCTCCAGGGGTGTCGTATAAATGGCCGACCCTGAACTCTGACCCCCAGCTTCTCTCTCCCTGTCTGTGTGTCTCATGGAGAGCAAGTTGGGGTCTGCGAAAAGACAAACTCCTAATGCAAGAAATAGTATATGGCCAATAAAGTGATCTTATCTTATCTAAATCCGTTAAGACTTGAGGCCTTACTGTGTTTTACCAGTCCAAATTTTACAAGAAAAGCATCCAAGCCTTGGAAACACGGAGAACTGCTCCCGTGGAAGAAAGTTTAGATCACGCATCACGACCTCGTCCACATCTGATTCAGGAGCTGCACTGCCCAGAGGCCAACCTACCTGAAACACAAAGCAGTTCCTTGCTTTGACTATAATCCCCAGGCGCTGCAGCTCGGAGGTGTACCGCGAGAGGGCGACGAGCGTGCCGTTGATGCGATATTCCGACGTGTCTCCTGAAACACCAATTAAAACTACTATACGCCAACATCCCTTACACTAACCAAGCAGCAGCAGCGCCTGGAACAAATCTCTAGCTGGATTTCAAATGTATTCGTTCGGAAACGGTCACAGTGTCATGACTGTAGTCCCTCCCCCTTAAGGGCGCTCCGGCTCTTTCACTTTTGAGCTGATTTTGTGCACCTGCTCCTCGTTTCAGCCTGCTGTTCAGCCCACCTTAAAAGCCAGACGCTCCCTCTGTGCCGGGCTCTGCCCTGGTTCCTGTTCCAGGCGAGTCCGGGACCTGGAGCGCCTGGTCCCGTCAAGTTTTTAGTTCCTGTTCCGGTTCCGACCCGGTTCCCGTTTTTGATCCCCTTTGTCTTCGTCTCGGATGGACCGCCTGGCTCTGGACTTCTGCCTCGTCTCGGATTTCCCTTTGGACTCACATCCGGACGGTTTGCCTCGGCCACACCTCCCCCGAACACCAGCGCACTGTGGGCACGCCCCCCGTTTTCATTCCTGACCCCTGCATGCCTTTTTTCCCCCTTTCCCCCCCGTGTTTTCTTCACTTTTCCCTGGATCGTGTGGTCTGCACAGGGTCCGGAAAGAACTCTCCCTGACGCAAACAGAGGGTTTTATAAGGGCAGTCGCTGTGAGGAAACGTTACTGCCCCCTGTGTTAGGAGAGGTGAATTTCAAAGCCGCATACAAAGCTACAGCAGAGGCTTTCGAGTTACTAGCAGGATCGGGGGTGCTCGGGTTTCCGTTAAAGCAAAGGAATGAAATGAAGAGCACGCACATTAAAAAAACAGTAGGAAGTAGGACAGTAGGAAGGGCAAAGACCAAGGGAGATGGTAAATGTTGATAAATGGTGGTCGATGTTGGTAAACACCACAATTGAGGCAAAAATGAATAACCTGACAACAGCAAAAGATGAAGAACAGGTGGCCCCCTCTTTAAGATCCTTAAAGGAGACTGTGGAAAGATGGCATTAAGTGGAGACTTAGTTCCCATAAGATATGTGGAAAACAGGGGTTAATGGGGACCGTGGAGAAGCAAAATATTCAACTTTTGTGTACAGTACAATACCTAAGTTACTTTAAGTACTGTGCGTATGATAAATAAGGACATCTGATATTACGCGGAGTAAAATTACTTCTAATTTAACGAATCCAGCAACGCAGTCTGCTTGAGCTTCTCACCCTTTCGCTGAACTTGTCAGGGAGCTCCGAGCCCAGGGGACGTAGATTTTGGGGGTACGGAAAACTTTTACAAAATTACATAAACGTCTCAAATGATAAATCATTAACGTACAATTATAACTGCAGTAATACTACATCTACGACGTTTATGTGATCCCAAGCAATTTTGCACTCAACTTACTCTAAATTTGCTGTATTGTTAGGCCCTAGACTCTGTTTTTAGGGTGCAGGTTACGTCTTTTGGGCTTAAATCTGGGTTATTCATACGCCCACGGTCATCCACTGTCAAAGGCGTAACAGGAGGGGACAGACGCTAAACAGGGACCCCCCCGTGACATGAAAAAAACTGTGAACTCCTCAGCAGTGAACCAGAAAGGGCCGACGGACGAGACGGGTCCGTTCGTGGACACCAGCAGGACGTCCACAGCGGTTCGGCGGGAAATCGGTTATCGGGGAGCGTTAATCCGAACCGCGGCGCCATCCCCCCAGGGTCCTGGAAGCGCCTCGGGCGGTCCCTACCGGTGATGGTGCGCGAGAACGTTTTCTCCTCCTCCTCCTCCTCCTCCTCGCCCGGCACCTCGCAGAAGGTCACGGCCACGCCGGCGGCGCCGGGGACGGGGACGCCGATGTGGGCGCCGTGCACGAGATCCCGGGCGTGCTTCACGCGCAGGCAGCCGGCCCTCTCCCCCAGCGCGAAGCACAGCGCGTCCATCACGTTGGACTTGCCTGCGGGCGGGGGGGACACAGAGTGAGAGACCCGCATCGGGGAGCCCTGCCCGCTGCACCCCCTCTTGTCCCCCCCAGCCAGAGAACTACGCCCCACGGGGAGAGGGGTCCCCCCCTGCTCGATTCCCGAGTCCTTTAAAGGGGACCTGCGGCTCCACTTTCACATTCCAGGGTGAGAAAGAATCAGTATTGACGAGTGCATGTCCAACCCCAGACCTCCAATGTACATCAGCTCGATTCCTTTTTTATTTTTTTATATAGCGCCTTCCGCAACAAGGTTGCCCCAGGGCGCTGAACAAAGCAAGGGTCCCTACGTGCTGTGAATACAGAACAGAAAAGACCAGAAGACAACGGAGGGGAGGAGCCAAAAACTCCTCAGTAAGGAGAAGAAAAACCTCTGGGGGGTCCAAGGTCAACTGGCTGCCCAACCCCTTTGGGCATGCTAACATTATTCATTTAAAAAAAGGAATAAACGAATGAGGGTATTAATCCATCCATCATGTCCTCTGTATGTCAGTACTCCACGCAGATCTCTGTAGACCAGCAGATTCCTCCTAAACGACAGCTATATCCGGGATGCCCCTGGCAGTGATGCAGCATCCAACTCAGATGGTGCCCAGCCAGGGTGCCATCCAGACATGTGGGGAGGAGACAAGGATAGTTTGGTCTGAACAGATGTATCTACCTGGTGGGCCAACATAGAGACACACAATGGCACGGACATCCCAAAATAGATCAAATTTCCAGGTCTGCGCAGCGCCGTGTTCTGCGATTCAGGACGAGGCCACAAGTCTTTCGGTGAGGCGAAGTGGCCCCTGTGACACTGCAAACAAGCAGGCTTGTGAATCCAGCTCTTTGAATCCAATAGAAATACAGTATTACTCTCCACTTCAAGAGGGTTTTACTGACAAATGTAACTTGTTAACTCTGCCTGCAGATCATGTGGGAACATTTCTGTGGTGAAACATCTGCTGCACAACCTGCACTTAGTCATTCGTCCATCACAGCCCCTCAGTCAGTACAGGGACTAGTGAGCAGGAAGGGCCAACTTCAAGAGCAACTTCAATCACCAGCCTGCTTGCTCACAGCGGGAAAATGTCCTCTATTCTGTGATGGAAACTGGAGGTTTTACACGTTGCTATGTTACGTTTTACGTTCACTGCTGTTTGAAATGCGCTCGTCCCCAATGCCGGTTCTTCCGAACCCCGAAATATAAAAAAGAGCGCTGCAGCTCTCCTTCAGGGACGCCTCTGAGTGTCCTTAGGCTCATAATGGTGGAGGGGAGACCCCATTACCTGTAAAGCGCTTTGAGTGGAGTGTCCAGAAAAGCGCTATATAAGTGTAAGCAATTATTATTATTATTATTATTATTATA